ATGGAGTGATGATGACAAGGATGATATCGAAGATGGCGATGCTTTTGTTGATGATGATAAGTCGTAATATAAAAAACAATATTGGTGGTGGTTAAGATGATAGTGAAGATGCTGGCAATAACGATGTTGAAAAAACCCAAAATATTGAATATAAAATGAAACTAGCAAAATGTTAACAATTGGAAAAGAAATAGCAATACTTGTAAGACATTAACAGCGTTGTTTTTCCCGCCATAGACACCAGCCAACAAACTCCTGACATCGTCAATGATCTTCATCTTCTCAGCGTGCCATCCGTGCTCCAGGTTGCAGAGTTTGAACCACAGATACATCGAAGAGGTGCACGATATGAGTGCCACGATGATTGCCAGGGTGGCTGTTGTGTTGTTCAGGTGCTGTGAAGTTGTTGATTGTGATGTTGCTGGTGGTTTTGTTTTTGTCGTTGTTAATGAGTCTATTGTTGTTGTTGACATTGACGAGAATGTGTTTATCGGAGTTGTAAGTTCACTTTTCGTTGTTGTTGTTTCTTGTGGTTTTAGGCGAGATACTTTTGATTTCGAGCTAGAAGGCACTGCTGGCTTGTCGTTGTTATCACATTTTTGCTGCTTATTTTTGACCATTTCAAATAGATCAGGATTCGTTTGTTTACAATCTTCCCTAATTAGCGTGACGTCATCGTCGCCATCATCAACGACGTCATCATCATCGTAATTGTAGTAATCCGTTTTGTTTTTTGTCGATTTGTCCGACTTGTACATCTTTCCGATGGTTCGAGATGAAGATGATGGCTTGAGAAGTTTCGTTGAGATATGTTGGCGGAAAATTGGTGAAAATTATCCGAGTGTCGATGCTTGCGGTTGTTTGTGCTGGTTTGCTTGGCTCTTTATACTAAATTTCCTTCTTAGTCGTTATAATTTATAAATTAACGTGCTTGCAAACAATTTAAAAATTAAATAATAATAATGTAGTTTTTTTAAACAATAAATTTTCTTACAAAATTATTAATGTAATAATTTTTCATTTACATTTGACTTCGAAGTTTTAAAAAAAACGACATTAATAATTTTGATCTTGTACATCATCTATATCGGGAAGGCTTCAACTAATCCAGACAACCAATCTAGCAACCAATCATTCAACCAGTCAAGCATTAACCCAATCCTTCAATCAATATCAATCAATATCAATCAATCAATCAATCAATCAAACCTACCTTTACTATAAAAATGTATAACAATTTATTCGTTAATCGTAATAACATCAACAGCATCACAAATTG